CCCCAAAACCCCAAAACCCCAAAACCCCAAAACCCCATAAAAAATTAATATAGTTGAAATTAATACAGACGGTCTATAAATAATATATAATTTTTGTCAGCCATGAACAGATTAAGGAAAATTTTATCTAAACTTCGGAAACCAAAGAGTGGACCAGGAGAAATCGGTATAATTGCTTTGTTTATATTTTGTTGTTATGTTAAGCTTAATTTTTAATAGAAGCATACAAAAGTGCATATAATCAGTTAAGTCTGGCCAACCCATTCAGACAATTAACTGGGAAAGAAAATGAAGCAGTTATCATTATGGATAACCGAGAACTTTTCAAGTCTGATAACCCACCCAATAACAGTGTTTTCTTAACCTGTCCTCATGCCAGCAAAGATGTTCGTTCCTAGTATAATCCATAGATAAAATATATGCCTCTCAACAACTTGGATGATATGATCCTCTACTCACAGAATGCTTACGACATCGGAGCGTTTGAGCTCACGAATGACTTGTCCGAAAGTCTACAGTGTGTTGCTTTGCTAAGCAACTTCTGTAAGCTTCTGATCGACCCGAACAAGTAAGATTTATGCATAACTCCAGGTCAATCGCTTCAAAACATCTTGTACCTGATTACGTTCTGCATCATGAAACAATTGACCCTGAGTTCCAGAGTAGTCATCAGGGCGCTTTCGCTCGCCCTGATGGCAAAATGGGTATTGAAATGAACAGAAGAGCTATTGTCGGAGATAGGCTGGATTACTACTACATCGAGTACCATAAACTCGTAGGGGAGGCCCTGGCCTTCCTAGAGCCCCAGTTGCATATTGATATCCATACTTATGAATGACTGAGTAATTATTTCCCAGATGATGCCTCATTGATGGATGAAGAAAGTATTGGTATTCAAGTTTACTCGAAGACTGAAAATAATTTGTAAGAAAAAGACCTCTTCAGGCTGGAAACCAGCCTGAAGAATTGGGGCTTCAGGGATTTTTTAGGAGTTTTAAGCGCTTGAGGTCTGGATATTGGTATTTCAATGGGATGTATGTGTTTGAAGGGATAAGATGATTTTAGTGACGACTGATAAAAGAAAGTATATTTTTAAAGCATTTTTATCAATTTTTAATATTTTTTGGATTATAGCATTGCAGAAGCATTACAAGATGAGGTAATCATTGTTTTTAAATTTTAGGATTCTGGATTGAAAGTTTTTACAGATCCATTCATTCCAAGTCTTTCACATCACCAGTGAGGCACCTTCACATTAGGTAATTCAACTATAAATACTAAATTATTCATATTACACTTAACCAAAGCAGCAAATTGTAACAATGAACTTCAAAATTCATTTCAATACAAAATATCGCTTAATAAACTCCTCTCCATCGCTCTCCCCCAGACTTCTAACCTTTTCTACATCAGACTCAGTTGCCGATTACGACCTCGAAGGAACCAGCAGTATACAAAGCCTCCAACTCAGCATCCCCAATCACTGGGCTATGGACTCCGAGTTCAGACTCTACCTCATCGAAATCCTGACCAGCACAATCCAAAATTCCATTAAAACTCCCTAAAATTCCAAAAAATCCCGAACAAATATTTCAATTTTCTTCTAAATTCCTGGGGTTTTGGGGTTTTGGGGTTTTGGGGTTTTGGGGTTTTGGGG